GGAAGCACGATCTATTAATGAAGAAACGCTGTCCAGGGTGGTAAATGAATTTTACAATCGGTTGGGGCTCTGTCAAGTTTCTCTTGGGCATCAGTTTGAGCATTTGTGAATATTAACAAGTACGTAAAGTTGATTATTGCAATTACATTTATTATTTAGTTTAGGAATTCTATTAGTTTTGATGGCAATTGTGTTTTTGTTGTTATAGGGTTGTAGTACAGTCTAACCTTGATATAACGAACCTCGATATAACGAATTCCTTGATATAACAAATTTTTTTTAATCCCCTAGAACTCTCCATAAGACACAATGTATATTTTACCTCTACATAACAAACAAACCATAACAACGACCTTGATTTAACAAATTTTTCGTGATTTCGGCTAAAATAAGACACCTCAATGTAACGAATTTATCATTGTCAGAACCTCTACATTGCGAATTTAACCTTTGCATAACGAATTGTCTACGTCTTACCCTCGATATAACAAATCCCCCACCCCATTATTGTTTTTGTAAAATCTGTTTCTTTATCAGATGAAATGGAAAGGTGACGTCATCGCTTGCGCTAACATTCGTCTGCTCCGTTTTACATTTTTGTCTGCTGTCGCTGCGCGCGCTATGCTGCAACTTGCAACTGAGAACTGATTTCATTCACTGAGGACTGATGACGACGTAATGTTTAGTAAGCTGTGATTGGGCGATATGGGATAACTATGGTGAATTGTACAATTTTTGGATAAAGAGAAACCTAAGAAAGAATATAAAAACAAAACCAAAGAGAAAGAATAACAACATCGTTATTTTAACATTCCTTTTACGAGTGTTTTTATTATCCTTAAGTTGGCTATGATTATACACTTCTATAATGACTTATCTAATAATTTATTGTTTTCAATACGATTTGTTTCAACTAGCAACACCAATGCAATAGTTAATGATTATTATTGACATTCCTCTGTTGTGATAAATCAGTATACTGTACTGTAAGTAGCCTACCGGCCTATCGCGAGCAGTAGCTTACAAAACTTTCTACTGTTTTGTTTTGTTCTTTACATGGTTTATGACTACGCAATACAGTGTTTGGCTATGTTTTAGGAGGGTTAGAACAAGCTGTGATTTTAAACTTACAGTTTTTAACCTGTACCAAGGTCAATGCCATTGTCATGATTGCGCAATATTCAAGATCCCTCCCCTTTATTATGCCGGATAATTTAGGTTCTACTGTACAAAGTAAACACTGTACTGTAAAGTACTGTAGCCTATACTACTTTAATTGTACTGTATTTTAATGAGGTCAAATCCCGACCTATATTGATCGACGCTGGTTCTGAACCTCGACTTAGCAAAATTCCTGCAAACCTAACCTCTATATAACGAACCTCGTTTTAACGATATCCTTGATATAACGAATATTCAGTTCGGTCCCTTCAGATTCGTTATACTGAGGTTGGACTGTATTATTGTAATTATTTTGTATTCTATGTTATTGTATTATTTGATATTCTAATAGTATTGGTAATCAATTTTTACACTATCAAACATTAGAGTATAAAGGAAAAAAAGGTGTTCCAGACTTAATTTACCCGTTCAACCCTAAGTACATTTTAAGCCGCCATATTAGACAGAATGCAAAAAAAAAAATAACAGATACATCGTTAAATTTTTCTTCCAAATACCTTTAAGGTGGGGGTTGTCATTTGAAAATTTTTAGTTACCCCCCACCCACAACATACCCTTAAGGGGAATTTTTTCAAAATTATGAAAAAGTGCCAAACATTTGTTCTCACTCAGTCCCACAAATTAATTCCTTCTTTTTACAATGAGTAAAAAAGATAAGAAATGTGTGCCATACCTAATTTACCCGTTCAACCCTAAGTACATTTTAAACCCCCATCTTGGATAGGGTGCTCGAAAAAGTTTTTAGACACATCTTTTGATTTGTCTTCCAATGACCTTTAAAATGAGGGGTCACAAGATGGGGGTTGTCATTTGAAAATTTTTAGTTACCCCCCAACCCCACCTTACCCTTAAGGGGAATTTTTTTCAAAATTATGAAAAAGTGCCAAACATTCGTTCTTACTCAGTCCCACAAATTAATTCCTTCTATCTACAATGAGTAAAAAAGATAAGAAATGTGTGCCATACCTAATTTACCCGTTCAACCCTAAGTACATTTTAAACCGCCATCTTGGATAGGGTGCTTGAAAAAGTTTTTAGACACATCTTTGGATTTGTCTTTCAATGACCTTTAAAATGAGGGGTCACAAGATGGGGGTTGTCATTTGAAAATTTTTAGTTACCCCCCACCCCCACCTTACCCTTAAGGGGAATTTTTTTCAAAATTATGAAAAAGTGCCAAACATTTGTTCTTACTCAGTCCCACAAATTAATTCCTTCTATCTACAATGAGTAAAAAAGATAAGAAATGTGTGCCATACCTAATTTACCCGTTCAACCCTAAGTACATTTTAAACCGCCATCTTGGATAGGGTGCTTGAAAACGTTTTTAGACACATCTTTGGATTTGTCTTCCAATGACCTTTAAAATGAGGGGTCACAAGATGGGGGTTGTTATTTGAAAATTTTTAGTTACCCCCCACCACCACCTTACCCTTAAGGGGAATTTTTTTCAAAATTATGAAAAAGTGCCAAACATTTGTTCTTACTCAGTCCCGCAAATTAATTCCTTCTATATACAATGAGTAAAAAAGATAAGAAATGTGTGCCATACCTAATTTGCCCGTTCAACCCTAAGTACATTTTAAACCGCCATCTTGGATAGGGTGCTCGAAAAAGTTTTTAGACACATCTTTGGATTTGTCTTCCAATGACCTTTAAAATGAGGGGTCACAAGATGGGGGTTGTCATTTGAAAATTTTTAGCTACCCCCCACCCCCTTGCCCTTAAGGGAATTTTTATTTTCAAAATTTGTAAAAAGTGCCTAACATTTGTTAATACAGTAATCAGTCCCGAAATTGATTTCTTCAATCCAGATCTCAATGCCAGACTTAATTTACACACTGTACTATAAAGCTATTAAGCTACTTAAAAATTAGTGATTTGTATATTTTTCCTTTTATATTAACTTGTTGACCTATACATACTATAAACAGGTTTTTTTCTTTTGTGGTAAGAGGCAGTAACAAAATTTGACCAATCCCAAACTATAGTTCAATTTAAATATATTGTCATGTTTAAACAATAAAGAATTTTATTTTTATTTTTAACATGAAGAATGCTAGTATCATTGTATTTTTTTAGTTACAGAAATTATAAAGGCTGGTCCGAACATGTGGCATTTGCTGAGCGGCGAGCAGCTACATGCCAAATTACGACTAGTGAACTAGTGTGGATGGGTGTCTGACGTACACCTACGTACACTGTACGTCTACCCATCATTCAGTGAACGTCAATGCTCATCATTTCCCCCCATGTTTGTTGTTTCCTACACACTGTAGCAACAAACAGGCTGCTTAGAAAGTGACGAATGTGTGGACATCCCTGCTTGGAAATCGACAGTAAAAAAACAAATACAGGGTGGGGCAGGGAAGTATCCCTAATTTTGAAGGTATATTAAAAGACAACCAAAAATGCTAGAACTAAGCTTTATATTGTGATTAAAAGGTTACATTTGGGAATTTATTTTAACACTATTTTAATTGGTTTTAAACAGCACGTCCTGCAAGTGGTGTCCCTCATTGTCAATACACTGTTGTAGCCTGGTTCTGAAATTCACCATAACTATGTGAAGCATTTGTTGTGGAATGCGGCCAATTTCAAAGTTAATTGCATCCTTCAAGGCATTTAGGGTCCTGGGTCGATGTTTGAATACTTCAGTTTTGAGGTAGCCCCATAAAAAGTAATCACACGGAGTTAAATCCGGTGAGCGTGCAGGCCATGAAATGTCTCCATACCGGGAAATCAATCGCCCAGGGAACATTTCCCTTAGAACAGCCATGGAGTGTCTAGCTGTATGCGCTGTTGCACCATCTTGCTGAAACCACACTTGTCCCAAATTATTTTGTTGCAACTGTGGTTCCAGAAATTGTTGGAGCATGTTCACATACCGATCAGAATTTATGGTAACCGAACGATTGTCCTCTTCGAAGAAATAAGGCCCAATTATGCCTTCGCTGCTGATTGCACACCAAACTGTTACTTTGTCACTGTGTAGAGGTCTCTTGTGAACTACCCGGGGGTTAGCCCTACTCCAATAACGCATATTCTGCTTATTTACCACTCCAGAAATATGGAAGTGTGCCTCGTCACTAAACAAAACCCGAGCATCATGAGGCAGGTCCGCAACTAAGGTTTCACAAGCCTGCATCCGTTGTTGCCAGTCTCGTTGTGTCAGCTCATGAGAAACTACCATCTTGTATGGATGGAGGTGTAGGTTCTCATGGAGAATACGACGCACAGTACGATTTGACATCACCAGTGCTGATGCATGTTTCCGAGCAGATCGTTGAGGAGACTGCAAAATTGATCTTCTGACAAGGTCAATGTTTTCAGGAGTTCGGACGGTTCTTTGAGCCCCAACTCTCTTTCCCAATAAACTACCACATTCTCGGAAGTTCTTTACCCACAACAAAATAGATTTGCGATCTGGAACAGCTCTGCACCAGGGGATCCGATAACGAGTTCGCAGCGCACGCTGCACAGCAATAATAGACTGATTTTGAGAAAAATACGTCTCGACTGCAAAAGCGCGTTGCTCACGCGACCAAGCCATGTTTACTACTGACAATGTTATTAATGGAAAATCCCAAAGCAACAATGTAATTCGAGCCTACCCACAATCCTCTAGCACATTCCTACAACCCACAGTGTCATCTTAAAATTAGGGATACTTCCCTGCCCCACCCTGTAGTTTATCACTATGTCAACTATTTGGTGCTCAGGGAATGAAACATGAGCGCACTCACCTTAATGTTGGATGGATCAAGTTATGCAGTTAATGTTCTATTATTTTATAACTGACATTTTATCTGTTTCAGCTGATAAGGACTGTTGGAGACATGTTCAGATTAGTTCCATTCTCAATATTTATCATTGTCCCATTCATGGAACTGCTTTTGCCAATTTTTATCAAGTTTTTCCCTGGCATGCTCCCTTCTACATTCCAGACGTCTACTGAAAAGGCAAGTTCATAAACCAAATTTTAACTTTTGTCTGGTTACCTGTAACTAATCCTTCTGTACAGCAATGTGGTGAAAACATGAAACTAAACTTCACGCCATGTTACACAGCATGATAACACTTGAAGAAATAAAAGAGGAAAACACTGGAATGCCACATTTAGCATTCAGGACTCGAAACATCTTGAATAAAATACTACATCTACAAATGAAAGATTGTAACAAATTCGAAACCTTGGGTATCTACAAAATAAATTGCAATGATTGTGGTAGCTTTACATTAGACAAACTGTAAATTTTGTTAAACGTTTCAAAAACCCCATATCTACATAGATAAACAACAAGCCGGAAAGATCAAATGTCGCACAACACTTCTCCACTCATTAGGAAAAGTGGAGGACAATATTAATTGTATTTTAATTTCAAAGAACTATTAGGAAGGAAATTTGATGAGTGCTTGGGAAGAATTGTCTATCATGAAACTCGGTCGGGTAGAAGAGGCGGACGGACTCGGAAAAGAAAAACCGATATTTTTTTAATATATAGATGGAAATAAGCTAATTAATGAACTAGTAAACTTTGACACCAGTTGTACTTATAGAAACTTATTGCCTGGAACTTCCGGTAGCCAATAGGGTATAAGTAGGGATGCCATCAAAGTTTTTGCATAATGGGTCTGATGATGATAGGAATGTCCAATGTGAAATCGATCACCACTCTTCACCATTCTTACCATCTTTTACATGTATTTACTATATACATAATTTTCCTCCAAGATTGATTTATTGACATAAAATGAGGTTACTAACCTGTCGTCAATCAGTCCTATATTGTCGTGGATGACTATAGTTTCAGGGTTAAAACCCCATTTTCAAATATTCTCTTCAGTCGTCATATGTCAAACATATCCTCTTGCACTAGCCTTCTTCAGAATTACTTCACACATAAACACAGTTTAGTAACCTCATTTTATGTCAATGTACTTACTGTCTTGTGAGTGAACAGTATAAATGTAAATAAATATAAGTTTCAAGTTTCAAGTGTTATTAAATGTACAGGGTGTTTTAAAAGAATGCCGGGATTTTAAATAGTAATTGCTTGGGTACTATTCTAGGTAACTAAACGTTTTATACGTCAAATTGAAGCTAAAATAATTAGGTTTTGTTTCCTGTGTAGCAAGGGAGGAAATTTTGACCTTGGTGTGCGCTAAACAGGTGCGGGGTGGTAGGCCGCTATTGAGACTATTGTACACACGCCTGACGCCAGTCGCCAGTGCAATGTTTACGGCGCAACAGAAGGCACAGAGTGTAATCTGTGGTTCACAGAGTTTATATCGATTCTCAATTAACCTTAATTAAAAACTACTTGTTGGTAAGTACATTAAACACTGGTTCAATGAGTTTTGTGGTACCGTAGGGTTTTGAAAAGACATTCACCTGGTCGGCTAAAAACAAGCGATGGCATAGTCGAAGAAATCCGTCAAATCTGCATCAGTAGCCCCAAAAATTGATTGCTCAACGAATTCTTCAGTTGAACATACCTATTTCAACACTTCATGATGTTATCTGCAAAAGATACAGTCTTTGTGCCTAAAAAGAATCAGTCAAGACGTCAGATAAACCGCCGATCGCCCTAATTGTACAGACTTAGCCAGTTTTACGCTCATATAAGATTGATGAAAATATGAATTTTATTCAATTGTTCCAAATTGTACAGGGTGTCCATAAAAAACGATTCAGACTTTGGGAAATTAATCCTCATACTAAAAGGAAGAAAAAAGTTTATGTGAAGGTATGTCTGAAAATGCATATTTACCCAGTTATCCGCGATTTTGTTTTTTATACAAAAATATTTTTATCTGTGAAGTTTTTCATTCGGTGATTATGAAATTTGGTAACCATGTTAACATACACAAGACCTATAAGAGAAAAAATAACAAAGTTGTTCCGATTGTAAATTTCAAAATGGCAGCCATTTGATTTTTTCTAACCCAACAACGGCTAATTCTATGAAAAATATCAAGAATACTTTTTTTAGCATTTTCAATTCCCTATCAAACGATACCAAGATCAAAAAGATCGGACAAAAGATAACTGAAATACAAAGTTTGTTGTGTAAAAATAAGGCAAAATTAAGGGTTCCCGACTAACTTTGCCTTATTTTTGCACAAAAAACTTAATATTTCAGTTATCTTTTATCCGATCTTTTTGATCTTGGTATCGTTTGATAGGGAATTGAAAATGCAAAAAAAAAGTATTCATGAAATTTCTTCATAGAATTAGCCATTTTTGAGTTATTTCAGTTAGAAAAATTAAAATGGCAGCCATTTTGAAATTAAAAATCGGAACAACTTTATTATTTTTTCTATAATAGGTCTTGTGTATGTTAACATGGTTACAAAATTTCATAATCATCGAATGAAAAACTTCACAGATAAAAATATTTTTGTATAAAAACAAAATGGCAGATAACTAAATATGCATTTTCAGACATACCTTCACATAAACTTTTTTCTTTCTTTTAGTATGATGATTGATTTCCCAAAGTCCTGAAACGTTTTTTATGGACACCCTGTATAATAGTATGAGAAAAAACATAGTTCTTTTCCCTTCAGTCCCCGAGCAACGACCGTTTAAAATCCCGGCATTCTTTTATAAACACCCTGTACTTATATTTACTAAATTTACAAAAAGTAAATAAAGAAACGTCTTATAACACTTAAAACATATATTTACGCTATGTTTAATATTAAATTTGAGCTTAGTTTATAAGAGAGAGAGTTTATAAATTAATGCTATTTTACCTAATATTGTACCATTAAACACAATGTTTCCCATGGATTTTAATTGAATATTTTGGGGCAGACCCAAGATTTTAAAGATAAAGCTCCATCAACTAAAACCACAAGCAGTGACTAGTAGCTGTGAGTAGCAAGTCTTAAAATTCAGAACATTATTACTAAAAATCAGCCCCTTTACTCACTTATTTTGTATACTATTACTATTTATTATTATTTTATTTGTGTTTAAATATGAAGAGAAAAAAAAGAAACAACTCAGCATGGTTCAAGTACATTATGGTGTGTTTTTCTGTATTTTAACATCGTTTGTTTTGATTTATTTGATGTTTTTTAGGAAGATAAAATGAAGCAGTCACTAAAAGTGAAGCTGGAGATGGCCAAGTTCTTACAGCAGACTCTGGATGAAATGGCTGTTACTAGCAAAGGTCATAGTTCCAAAGCTGCCAAAGACTTTGTGGAATTCTTCCATAAGGTAGGTTATTTATTCTGTGAATCAACTCATCAGTAGGATACTCTATGTTAATCTTAGGGATGGACGTGATTGTACTTTTAGTTCGGGATAGGAAGGGACGAGATATTAATTTCCCTTAGATCTTTAGGGACAGGATGGGATTTTTTCCTTGCAAAAAATATTTATTGTAAAAATCTTGAGTAAACATTCTTGCAGATAGCGATAATGAGAAACAAAAACAAATTCACAGTTTCTTTGTCACTGTTCTATAAAAACCAATAATGGTTAAAAGTACACAGGTAAGAAAAGTTAAAGAAACTTCAATCATAAAACACCACTAGCTAACCACAAACAGGTATTAAAACTGACCATCACTATATTTTTTTAAACTGTGTAAAGTTATATTAGTACAGTATTACCTTTACTAATAACGAAATCTTAATAACGTGTACCTATAACTATGTTATCATGACTTGCATCTCCCAAGATCACGGTACCTTCGTCAACATGTTGCACGTCGATGGTAATATCTTGATCAAGTCTCGTAATAGCAGCACCATCGTTGCGTTATCACGGCGCCATTATCAACCTACCTATTTTTGTGGTGCCATCGTTGACGTCAACAGCTCCTGCATATGCAATGCAATCATGAACATCTTCTGGGATCAAGGAGAGAACGTCATTGTCTCCCGCAATCGCAGATATATCATCATCGTTGAGGATTGGAACAAATCCCGCCCCGAGAATATCCTGAATTTTATGTAATCCCGTTCGGTTTTTAGTTAATATATATATAATTTTTTAATTTCCTGACCTTTCTATTTTGGGACTCGTCCATCCTTAGTTAATTGTTTGGATATGGATAAAGTTGGGAAAAGTATGAAATATGTGGTAGGCTAGTTTAAAAACAATTTTAAATAACGGTTTGACTGAAAATTTTTTTGAGAAATAAAACAATAATGTTACTGTAAGAATCACATTTTTAGCCAATAGGGTTAGTATTGTTGAAATTCCACAAGTTACCCCAAAATTTGGAGTTTTGACTCTTTTATTATTTTTAACATTCACTTTAGCTGAAAAAATGCAAATTAGTAGCCTAGTTTAGTATGCTAAAGTTTTCTTTGCACTTATTTATTAATGAGAATGATGCTTATATTATACCCTTCAATATTTGCCCTTGTGCTGTTGTCTGTCTAGGTGAGAACTGAAGGAGGAGGACTTGCGAGCAATGAGGAAATTTTGAAGTTTTCTAAGCTTTTTGAGGATGAAATAACATTAGATTCACTAACAAGATCTCAGCTGATGGCATTATGCAGGGTACTTGAACTTCAACCATTTGGTACAACGAATTTGCTCCGCTTCCAACTGCGAATGAAGCTTAGAAGTCTTGCTGCAGACGATGTTGTAAGTTGTTTATCAATCAACCTTGACTTGTAAAAGTTTACCGTCATTAGTCCAAGTCCAACTTACTTTGTTGTCTAATGTGAGTTGTATGAGTCAAGCTGTGGCTTGCAGCTTTAATTAACCATTCAATATTTTGTTTTAATTTCTCTGTAGTAATATTAATGTACACATATGTTTCCAATTTAAATGTTTTCTGTACACAACATGATGTGATGTTTGTCGCAAAAAATCTAACTGTTTTGTTAATAGGCCTTCATAGATAATTATTTGTAGAGGTGTGTGGATAGTAAAATTTCATTTCGGATCGGATAGTTGAGGCTCGGTTCGGATCTGATCGGATATTGGGATGTTCGGACTCGGATATTTTCGGATTCGGATAGTTCGGCTCGGTTAATAATAAGCTGCATATGCATTTGTAACCTATAAAACACTGTAAAGCTGTGTAAATAAACTTTAATGGCGATTTTGAATTATAGAATTTCAAATTAGCCACCTCCACAGTTTTTTCTCTCTTAAAAATCACAATTCACAACACCTATTTTCAAAAGTTGGTTGCTTGAGTTAAGTACACTAGCAGCCGAAATCTTCACACAACACTTTAGCTCAGCAGGACTGATGTCAAACGTTTGGGCTTGTTTACTTGAGGTTATGTTTTATGTTGTTTCCTGGTTCTCACAAGACAAGGAGTTCTATCTCAAGTTTATTTTCACATTGTATTTCCTTACGTTTTTGTAACAGATTATTGGCCTTAAGTGGCATTCTGCGGGTTTGCCAAGTTTATAAAACATCACTAAAATGCACTAAGCTGGGCTCTACCTCACGATTTGATGTTGCAGCAAGTTATTAGGGCAATTAGGCTTTATAACTCTGTAAAAGGTGTGTATCCCTGAATTTAAAAAATTTCATTCTACACTTATTCACTGCCAAACATAATTCAGTAGAACCTTGATGAACCGAGAATTACACTAGCCTACATAACTTCAGTACCCCAAGTAAAATACCAAGATAATTTTTAAAATTTTATTTGAATTGTAATCTTAGTTTGTTAAAAATAGATTGGATGTTCAACAATTGCAGTCCATTATTGTTAAGGTGTATGGTCCCAAAATATTGTTTTTGATTTTGAGACATCACAGTTCATTTGACAAAATTAAAGTTGAAGCAGCCCAAGGTCAAGTTACGCTTGTGCAATAGTTTTTTACAAGCTTTCTCCAGACTACTGGGGAGGGTCGAGTCTGATAAGCCGTCTATTGTCCACCCCCAAGGCGGTTCAACCCTCATTAGTGCCGCTTGGCTGCACTCAGTGGGGAACCCAATACCATAAATCAATCTTTTAAATTAATCAAAATATTTTGTAATAATTGTTTTATTGATATTCACCTTGAAATTTCAATAAATTTGGTGTAAAATTTGAAAAAAATCTGCCAATTCCAATGTAAATTGGTAATTAAATAATAGGTAAAAATTAACCAATTTTTGTCAAGTTTTACCCCCTGCTGTGCGCTATGTCACAAAAGCTGATAACGACATGGGTGGTTAGTAACCATGGCAACTTGTGGAATGCGTGATGAAGGGAAACCCAAGAAATAGAAGAACAAAAAGAAAGAATAATGAAGTTGTTATATTTATACTCTTATTACAATTGCTTTTATTGTTATTATCTTAATGTAAGATTTTATGATTTTGTTTTATAGGTTTATAAAATATTTCTTTTTAACTACGGGAGTATCAATTTATAATTTACCAACGTGCTTCTCTTCTGAAACAGCAATACCGGATGCATAATAAAGGTCAATGACCTAAAATATCATGATTGTGCAATATTGTATTTTGATGTTGAAATTCAAATCATGACAAAAGTTTGTATATTTCGCCTGGTCCCTATTATTCAATCACTTAATATACACAATCAATGCTAAATAATCGTGGTTAGTTCTAATTTTATCTTTGATTATTCAAATCTTCTACACAATAAGACTATCCAAAGTCAAACCGGGCAATGATTACTCGAAAACAACGTTGTATCCTGTCCTGTGATTAAAATACCACTCGCCATCGCCAGTCCTTTAGGTTTAGGGAAGTAGTGCAAGTCTATTATATAGCTTCAAGGTCGTACTCACTCCTTCCCCTCTCCCATCCTACTCGACTCACTGTTGCTACCCGCGCTCCTTTCGAGGTAATTGCCCAACCCCTCCCACCCTATTGTGTTGCCTTTCTATTGTTTCTATTCTGAATTTTTTTTCAGGAAACATTAAATCTATTGTTTACGTAACAGCATAGTAGTAGGCTAGATTTTTCTGCTTTAAAACAGTACTGTAAAAAAAACTATCCCCCCTAGTATCAGGAGACAAGCACGAGTTGACTTTCATTTGACCATGGTAGTTCTTTTCTGCTTTATGTCTGTTCGTTCCAGATGAATCTAATCGTAAAGCAAAACAGCCAATAACGACTAAACTAGATATCGGTATTGCATCATACGGCTTCTTTGTCGTTTGCTGTGAGGTCGTTGGGAACGTATTGCTGTAATTTTGTCCTGGGAAACTAATGATGGTTATGAAGATTTAGTGTTTTCTGTCAAAAACGTCAAAATATGTTGTCTATCCGAAAAAGAAGGGTATATGACGGATAGTGTCGGATATCAAATTTGGACTCGGTTTGGATACGGATATCCGAAGGAACCGAACCGAATCCGAACCGATTTTTCGGATATCCGCACACCTCTAGTTATTAGTAGTATTAGTAATATTAGTATGAGTGATTTTTTGCTTTAGTTGTAATTAATATTTAATCAACTTAATAATTGCATAATTAAAACCAAAACAAGTTTTAAATCCTTTTTTTTTATAAAATTATTGTTCTGTCATTTTTACAGTGTGAGAAACTACTAGAAAAAGTAAAAATGATTGGGAGATACAATATCTGCTTACCAAATTGCCATAAAAATTTGACTGCAGGTGTGTCTCAATGCACACATCGATAAACACATAATTTACTGCTTCTCACTGAACAAGTATAAATCCTCATTCTGCAAAACCAATAGTGCTAAAGCAGTTTTAATCAGTCCATATGTATAATTTTGTAACAAAATATTTTCTTTATAATTTTATTACTAAGGGAGGGTAGCAAGCCCTTAGGTAAATAAGATAATTTACCAAGTTGTTTCTGAATTTTTCAGAGGATAAAGGATGAGGGGGTGGAGTCACTGACACAGGTAGAGCTACAAGCTGCGTGTCGCGCGAGAGGTATGCGCGCACTTGGTATGTCGGAAGAGAGACTGCGTGCACAGCTGTCACAATGGCTGGACCTCAGTCTCAATGAGAAAGTGCCTCCGTCACTGTTGCTGCTGTCACGAGCGTTCCTGCTCCCAGAGACAATCACTACGACGGAGAAACTGGTGGCCACCATATCTGCGCTACCTGACACTGTTGTGAGTATTGTCTTCTCAGACTTAAAAGATATTTTCAATGTTCTTGCTGTAAATATGATGAGCACACCCCATCGAGAGATTTTAATAATGGCTAGGCATCTTGTAATGAAGATTACTTTTAACTAATAAAGGGTTAGCATCTAGTGCACACCAATACTCTCAGTCATAAAACTTTATCCTCACAAACTCAGCAAACCATAGACCTAAAAGGTAAATGAGGTATGTAGATCCATGGGGTTTGTGCTGAATAAAAGATTAGTTTTCTCAAGAATTAATTAGTTTTTTTTTACCTCAAGTTAAATTAAAGTTGTGGACAACAGATTTTATTGAAAATTAAACTTGAATTTTATGGTAACGGGTTATTGTGTTATAACAAACTTTTTAAGTTCTTGACCATACCCTGCATGATATAATGCATTGACCAATGCGCAATGATATAATTCTGCAAAACTTGGTATCATAAATATTCAGCACACACCAAATCTATGATTACTGAAGCAAATAGTTCAGCCGCACTTGTAACTACATCAGAACAATAATTAAATGTAGATACATGTTTTACTGATACTTAGTGGTTATTGACCTTGCAAGCTGTTCAGTGCTTCACTGTAGATTCTTGATGAGGCACAGGGCTTGCTTAAATATTGGGATTTTAAACTATGCTTTTTTATAATACTTCCTTTTTCCTGTTTTATACTTTACTATGCAACTTTTTGGATTTTACAAAATAGCCTATATAGTTCAACATCCATTTCACAGGCTACCAAAACAAAAGCAGCTATTGGAGAACGAGAAGGAAAAATTGATAACAAGGCTCAGTTGGATTTGATTCAAGAAGAAGTTGCCAAGATACAAGAAGAGAAGAAGGAACTGGAAGAGGAAACCAAGGTTTGTACCCAATCTTACTGTCTGTATTTCCGGCCGTATGCTATCAGTAAACCTCACAAATATTTTGGCTATAGGATGACATTAGTTCTGACCTTCAAGGAATCAACAATTGATGTTTATATTTTTTCAGCTATGGATTGAACCTTTACATGATTTTTTTAAGGATTCAAAGTTGTTGTGATCTTTCTTTATAATAAATAAAATGGATATAGGCCTAGAGTATTCAATAAACTCACTACCTACCGTAACAACAGTGGCTAATGAAGCCTGTGACAAAATATGATAATTGAATTTGATTGTAACACATAATCTTCACTAGGGATGGACGGGATTGAACTTTTAGTTCGGGACGGGACGGGACGTGATTTTTATTTCCTTCCTGATTTTCGGGACGGGTCCCTTGGTAATCTTGATCAATTTTTACCGTTTGTGACACTATCTATAAAAACAGGGTGTCTAGTAGTCGGGAAAGTCGGGAATTAGTATTGAATTTCAAAATGGTCTTGAAAAGTCGGGATTTAGTTTTAAATTTGATTTCAAAGTCGGGAATTTTCATGATTTTACCGCGATCGTCGTCTTACGTTTACGTAATTAAAATCCAATTTAATTATTGAAAAATCCTCAAACAGGAGTCTCCTCTCTATAAAAAAGTTTTTGGATGAAAGAAATCTGCTTATCAGCACAACAAAATCAAATCTAATATCCTTTTCAACTAAACAATCAATAACAGCATTTGAACCTAATATTTTTATAAAAACAGACAAAATTGATCAGGTAAACCAAACAAAGTTTCTGGGACTGGTTATTGATGAAAATCTATCTTGGGATAATTACATAAACTATGTAGTAAATAAATTATCATCTGGCATTCATGCCTTGCGGCTGATGTCCAAGGTTTGCAACTTGGAAACTCTTAGGATAATCTATTATTCTCTAATTCATTCCCACATATATCCTATGGAATCGCCATTTACGGAGCAACAACTAAGGCAAATTTGGATAAAATACTTATAAAACAAGAAAAAGCTATTAGAGTGATCATGAAATTAAAAAGAACAGATTCAGTTAAAAATATCTTTCCTGAATTGGGTGTATTAACAGTTTACAGTTTGTATATTTATGAGACAATAATTTATGCAAAACAATTTCATTTATTATCCACTGCAAGTAAATATAACACACGCTTTCAAATTAACCTTCCTAGACATAATTTAGAATTCTATACCAAAAAACCTTCATATGCAGGCTTAAAATTTCTTCAAAAATTACCGATTTCACTTAAAAAAGAAAATAATACACAAACAGATTCAAAAGCCTACTAAAAGACTTGTTGATAAGAAACCCATTTTATTCCATCAAAGAATTTTTAAATTGTAATCTTGAAACGACCATTTGAATTCCAGATACTACCGTTTACTCTGACGTAACCTTCTAAGATTTTGTGATTTTTTACAGTTATAGCACTCATTTTTAGTTTTACTATATAAATCCTTTGTGAATGATTTTAATTATTTAGTTTATAATTTTTGTTTATGTTAGTTTAATGACACTATTCAAGACATATTGTCTAAACTTTGTGAATAAAGAATATTTGATTGATTGATTGATTGATAACCGCGAAAGCCAATGATGATGATGTCTACACGGCCTCGGGAAATGTTCACGATTTTGCCGCGATTGTGGACGACGACGAAGACGTTTCCGAAACCGCGGGAGAAGACGATAACGTTTCCGTGACCACGAGAGACGACGATGACGTTTCTATGACAGCAGGAGACGACGATGACGTTTCCGTGGCCGCGGGAGACGACGATGACGTTTCCGTGACCGCAGGAGATGACGATGACGTTTCCGTGACCGCGGGAGATGACGTTGATGTTAACACGGGCAAGGGAAATGTTCTCATGATTTTGCCACGATTGCGGAGGACGACGATGACGTTTCCATGACCGCAGGAGACGACGATGATGTCTACACGGCCGTGGGGAATGTTCATGATTTTGCCGTGATTGCGAACGTCGACGATGACGTTTCCGTGACCGCTGGAGATGACGGTGATGTCTAAACAGCCGCTGGAAATTTTCATGATTTTGCCCATATCGCGGACGACGATGATCACGTTTCTGTAACCGCTGCAGTCAATGATGATGTCTAAACGTACGGTACGCGGAAGATTTCATGATAAAAAACAACCAAATTTGCTAGTTAGAATTTTTTATTGCTGCATTATTTCTTTACTTGAAAACTCCACATTATCATAATACTACTTTATGAAAAAGACTGGGGATGGTGTAGTATTATTTAGAAAATTTGGTTAAGCCATAAAAATTGGTATCGGTATCAAGAATCGAGAATCGATACATTTTTTTATCAATACCCACTAATTGTTGAAAAAACTAGTCTTGAAAAATCTGGAATTAGTCTTGAAAAGTCTGAAATTAGTCTTGAATTTTATAATGGAAATAAACTAGACACCCTGTAAAAACCGGGGTGATCGTCGGTATGACTCACGGTAACACCGTGATTGTCGGTATGACTCCGCGGTCACGGCGTGATCGTCGGAATGACTCCGCGGTCACGGCGTGATTGTCGGTCTGACTCACGATAACGGCGTGATCGTCGGAATGACTCCACGGTCCCGGCGCGATCGTCGGTATGAGTCCGCAGTTACGGCACAATCACTGGTATGACTCGCAATCACGGCATGATCGTCGGTATGACTCCGTGGTCACGGCGCGATCTCAGTATGACTCCGCGATCGTCGGTATGACTCTGCGGTTACGGCACCATCATTGGTATGACTCCGTGGTCACGGGGTGATCGTCGGTATGACTCACAGTCACGGCACGATCATTGGTATGACTCCGTGGTCACGGGGTGATCGTCGGTATGACTCGCAGTCACGGCACGATCATCGGTATGACTCTGCGGTCACATTTTGATCGTCGGTATGACTCGCGATCACGGCATGATCGTCGGTATGACTCCGCGGTCATGGCACGATCGTCGGTATGACTTCCCCACCTGCGTTCGCGGAACATCTATCGCGATCGTTGCGTTATCTTCATTCGCGGAGCAGCAAAATCGCCGACGATTGGACCAAATCCCGTCCTGAAAAATTCCCGAATCAAATGTTATCCTGTCCCGAAAATCGGGAATATTTTTTCCCCGAAAATTTCCCGAAATTTCGGGACCCGTCCATCCCTAATCTTCACTATTATGATTGAAGGCAGTTGTTAATCATACTGCAAAATCTTGACATTTTAATTCTTATATTTATTATGTTATTATTATTAAATTGGACTTTTTCAACGTATTCTGGGTTTAAAACTACAGAACGTTTTCAGAGGTGGATAACCTCCTCCCTTTACCGAGTAAAAATTACTACTCTACATATTTATTGTGTGGGAACCTTGATTTTAGAGCTGGTTAATTATTGTGATACACAATATTACAATATTTGATAATTTCCCTCATATATTTATGTTAGGTAATTTAACTTGTTGAAGTACCTATTTAACAATTTTTATATCATACAAATAAGCAATCAGGATTTTGTAGTGTTCTATTTTTATTGAAGGTGGCTGAAAAAGTAGAAGTTTTGGTTGACAAAGCACCAATTTTGGCTGACAAAGCAACAGTACTAGCAGATAAACCGAAAGAAGAAAAGGTATGAATCATTTATATAATTTAGTTTATATATATATATATATATACATATATATACTATGATTTTTTATGTTTTTGTTTTTTTTACGCCAGTGGCATTTCACGAGAGTTACGAGAGATAAATGTTTTAGTTCTTGTTGTTGATGTTGTTCTTGTATATATATATTATATATTTTATTATATATATATATATATATATAGATTATATATTTATATAAGACATTTTAGCTATTTAGTTCTTTCCAGAGGTTTATTTTTAAGTGAAGTGGGCCTACTGAAACTAAACCCCTAGCTACAAACCTTACTCTACATCCTTCACCACTCCTTCATTCGCTTTCTACTACAGATAATTGTTGTTATAGTTGTTAAATTGGGTCGAATTCTGAATTTTAAATCCATCACTATAAATTAAATACCCCACTTTTTTTGTATAGACTATGTGTTTTGACGTTTCGGTAGGCCTATTCCTCTAAATTCAAATGTATAGTCAACCCCTGAAAGAAAATGTGTGTAGTTGAATATTCTAGTACCTACCGAGGATCACATATGGACACAAGAGGCTTAAGATTGATTATCAACACTTGTGTCCATAATTGTAACAAAGCTAAAATTTGCTTCTTTGAAATGTCATTAACTTTATAAATTGACAGGATAGACATTTTAGCTCAGTACGCATATTAAACAGAACCTGACTAGTAAAAATAATAATTTGATTCTTTAATGTTGGCTTTTCATCTCCAAAATCATTCTAACATCATCCCTCCATATGTAACTATTATAACGTAAAAACATAATAGAATCATAGGCTATTTTATTAGTTTGCTGTCGCATAGAAAATTTGAGGTCCGGTACGATTCAAGTTTTGTTCTTTCGTCATCTGTACATAATTATAGCACTGCACAAGCACAAGTTGCCATAATGTACACCTACAGAATATAATGAATTTTAATTCAATTAGGATTTTAAACCAGCAATTATTTCATTTTCTTGCATTCATAATAAAGAAGACATATTCATACGTATACATTTATAAAGATATACATTCATTCATGTAGAGTATTGGGTTTAAACATCACCAACAACATAAATTTTATTTTTTAATGGTGAATTTTTATCTGATAAATTAGGTTATATGTGGTAAATTATATGCAAAAAGTTACTGTGCGGTGTAATTATACTAAAAAGAGGAAAAAGTCGAGGTTTTGGTATAAAGAGTATAATTTATGAGAGAAATAATGTGTACGTGTTGATATGAGAGGTGATTCGCAACGAATGAATGCAACAATGAAAATTGACATATGGTAATGTGATGGGAATTACAGACGGACTGTTAAAAACAAAGACATATAAAATTAATACAAAAACAAAGGCAACTTGACTGAACAGTTACATAAAGTTAAACTAACATAAAATATTATTATTCCTTTTTGTTTCAGGATTTATCTGCTAAAGATATCGGTGAAACTTTAGAAGATGCTTTAGATGCTGTAGGTAAGGGAAAAAAGAAGATGATAATAGAAAAAGAAGAGCTTGACGACTTAAAGGAAGAAATGAAAGATTACCAAGAGGTATGTATTTTTTACTATTAACTGAGTATCAATTGCCTTTTAAGCTTGTTTATTTGCATAAAGTATTGAAATCATATTCTAAAAATGAATCAGTGTTTTTACAGCTAGAGCTAATGATAAACAATGGTTGATTAATTAAAATGTTTTATTTGCCTGAAAAATATTCAGAGATACTGGTACTGAAAATAGTGATAAAAGTATAGTAGTTACAAGTACATCAATCAACAAATCGAATGGCGGTACAAATTGAGAGATGTAGCCACAGTTTGTGCAAAGGTATATCACGATTGCTGGAATGGAAAAAGTTGTACTTATTACAAGTGTTTCTGAAGTAATATTTCCTCACTGGAATATTTATACAGTGGAGTCCCGATAATCCGAACTTCGGTAATCCGAAAGTCCGCTTAATCCGAAACCAAAAAATATATTTTTTAATTAATTTCAATTTCAATAGGTCTGAAAATTTTTTGAATTTTATTTTTTAAATTTTTTGAAATTTTTTTTTGAAATTTTTACAATTTTTTTCAAAATTTTTTGAAGTTTTTTGGAAAGTTTTTGAATTTTTTTATTAAACTTTTGACACAGTTAGCTGTACCTCGTCAAAGTATTCTGTAGCGGCTGGGCGAGATAGACTTTTTTGTAGAGTATTTTAGTAAATTATTATTTCACCATTTTTGTTATTACCGTAACATTTTACATTTTCGTCCGCCAAATCACAAATGGATTTTACTAAGTGATAATGCTGCATTCAATAGGTCTAGCCTTAAGTAATGTGAAAAACAATCCCGGGCTCGTGCCTGCGTCCGAAAAAAAAGTAGTAAGAATGAGACAAAAAAAATTCAAAAAATAAAAAAAAACAAAAAAACGTTTAATCCGAAATATTCGGTAATCCGAAATGGGCCCGGTCCCAACCATTTCGGACTAACGGGACTCTACTGAATATATAAATCCCTAAGTACCCATAAACTTTTGAGAAAACTGCAAGTCACCCCCCTACAAAACATATACTTGAAATGTTTGTTGAAACCTTGCGCAAAACTATCCATTATTTCATAAATTGCCCTTCAAGGTCTTAATTCTTTTCTAAACGGAACTTTAAATATACCTAATGTTAAAAATGCCTCAGCTATACTTATTTGTATGTTATTCTTTCAATTTATCGCCTTATTAATCAGGTGTGATTATTTGTTTGTAATACTGTACTCTGTTTTGTTTATTTCAGCTTAACTTAACCAATCAATAGTTTTTAAATGGTAGAAAAAGGAGGATAGCAGCTAGCTTACCTTGAAAGTGTGGGTAGGCCATAGAACAAGTAGACAAATATTTTGCACACAATATTTCGTCCCCCAAGGGACTTTGTCAAGTGTAGAGAGAGTTTATAAATTACAAGATGGCTGCTGTCATGGCTGATGGCTGAGTTGTCAACTAGGCAAACTAGGCCTAGTTTGTATATAAAATATTATGTGTGTGTATATATAAAATTGTGTACATAGTTGTAAATAGACTAATGAGATGTGGCAACCCTGCATAGTTGACAACAGCCATCAGCCATGACAGCAGCCATCTTGTAATTTATAAACTCTCTCTACACTTGACAAAGTCCCTTAGGGGACGAAATATTGTGTGCAAAATATTTTTCTACTTGTTCTATGGCCTACCCACACTTTCAAGGTAAGCTAGCTGCTATCCTCCTTTTTCTACCATTTAAAATCCTGGCCTAGAGCCTTTCCTTTAAACAAAACCAATCAATAGTTTTATTAATACTTATGAAGTCAAAAAGGGTGAAGCCCGTGGATAACAGCTAGTATTTATAATGTGGAATTCCTGATGTGGAGTTACAGTGAAATCAATATGCATCATCATTTCCTAAATAACCAAACAATCTATGTTGGCCTACTCTGTCAATAAATGTATTAGGCTATTAGTGGTGAAATAAGTTCCATTAATTTGTTAATCAAATAAGTGATGCAATGATTTAAAAACTTTTGTAGGATGTACAGAATTTGAAGGAGGTATCAGAGTTGGCGAAACAGTCTGATGAAGGTTTAGAGGTGAAGGAGTCCAAGGCTGCTAAGAGACTGTCCAAGACTGTTAACAAGATGATCTCTAAAATGGACGCTGCTCTTGCTGAGCTGGAGAAGAAAGAGAAAGCAAAAAAAGAAAGTTTACGAAAAGAAGTCACAAATGAAGAATCGACTACTCCTACGTAAGTTATGTATTATTGTGGTAAAAAATTATAGATTCACGGGTCCCAAAATTTCATGAAATTTTCAGGAAAAAAAATACTCCCAATCATTGGTACGGGATTACATTTAAATCAGGGTTTTATTGGGACGGGATTTGATGTGATCGTCGGCTATTTTGCCGCGTCACGAGTAACGATGATGCCATTTTCGCAAGTGCGGGGATATCGTCGCATGGCGACTGACGATGATTATGCCTCTGTGGTTGCGAGAGAAGCTCACTTTAATGCAGCGAACCCAGGAGGTAATGACGATGACTCTGTAATTACGGGAGATGTTTAAGATTGCGCCGCGAACGAGGGACATATTGACAATGGTGCCGTAACCACGAGTCATTTCGACGATGGCACCCTGACCGGACCACGAGATTGTGCCGTGAACGCAGGACATGTCGACGAAGACGCTGTGACCCCGTGTCATGAACTGACCATGGGGCCTTGATCGCGGGACAAGTTCACGATGGCGCTGCGAACACGAGTCATGTTGACGATGGCACCGTGACTGCTGGACAAGTTCACGAAGGTAACGCCAATGCGGGACATGTTGAATTGCTGATGATGGCTCTGTGACCGCAGCACAAGTTTACAATGACGCCGCGAATGCTGGACATGTTGACAATGGTGCCGTGACCACAGGACATGTTGACGAAGACACCGTGACCACAAATCATGCTGATAATGGCACCGTGAATGTCAGACATGTTCACTTTAGCGCCAGGACCGCAATTCATGTTGACAATGGCGCCTTGACCGCGAGACAAGTTCACGATAGCACCGCAAATGCGGGACATGTTGACAATGGCGCCGTGACTGTGAGACATGTCCACAACGGCGTCGCGAACTCGGGCCTTAAAACTCTACACAGACATAGACATAGACATATTTTATTTGCGTATAACATTCTTTACATGTGTTAGTACATACAGAAAAGGTGAATTGTCAGAATCATTCAGCAGTTTTTTAAAGTACAATGAATTTTTAAATCAAAGGTTTTTGCATTATCTGTTTATTTTTACCAAATGTTGGTTTTTGTAAATCAGTGCCGCAAAGGAAAAAATTGATTTTTTGTTCGTCATTTTTAATGTATGCAATGTATACTCAAGCAAAATTTAAAAAAAGCCTTTTTGCCTGTAGAAAAAAATCCTGTCCCGTCCCAAACTCAAAGTTCAATCCCTTTCATCCCTCAGGGTTGTCAGCGACCGGGAATTCCGGGAAAATCAGGAACTATGCGTGAATTTTAACCGCTGTGAAAAAACCGGGAAATTTGCGGGAAAATGGTATGATTCAGGGATTTTCAATGAATTTAAACTATTATCATTATGTTCGTTTATTAACGAGGAATTATATAGTTCTAATAATTTTGAGCCAATTTATCTGACAAACTTTATAGTGAATTTATATTTACGGAAGATTCAGATTATAAATTAACCAGATTCGAGAATCAAATCTCGGGTCCGCCATCAGAATACGCTGACTCGCTGTCAGCTCTATAATAAGGTGAAGCGTGTAGCAGGGTAGCAGCAATGTCGATCTACGCATAGCTGGAACAAAGCCAAACTCAGTCTCAAAACTCAAGGCATGGTTTGAAATCATCCTAGTCGAATATTAATTTTATTTTAAAGAGGGATAGGCTGATAACAGAATTTCTCGATTCTACTGTATACAGGGTTGTCAGCGGCCGGGAATTCCGGGAAAATCAGGAATTATGCTTGAATTTTAACAGCCGTGAAAAAACCGGGAAATATGCGTGAAAATCGTATTATTCCGTGAATTTAATTGATATCGTTAATACAGTTTTTTTTTCAAGTAATTTTAACAGTTATAAACCGTTTTGCAATACTTTCTTGATTGATTTGATAGTAAACCAAAATTTACGGTTTACTGGCGAGTGGCGATGGTTCGGAAGAAGCAGAAGGTAAGTTGGATGTACACTACCTACCACCATGAATAGGCCTACGCGGGAAGCCGACGTCGCCGGTCGCTGGAAGCACTTAGTTAAATATACTCGCAACTCGAGTCGAGTAGTAGAGGTTAAGCCGATTTCGTTGATGTTTGACAAGTAAATAATAAGAAAGGAAAATGTTTGAGTTTTATTTAATCCCTTAACCCCTTTCAATATTGACATACTAGGCCTAATAATAATCAGCAACCTAGGCATCGCTTGCGTCATCCATTTCACTGACAGCGACAGCTGACACTGGGTGATGGTGATAGTGATGGGTAGTGGTGTGCAGCGGGTGCGATGTATTGAAATTTCAATTCGATTCTAAAAAGGGATGTATCGATTATCGTCATCGATACCACCATCCATTGGTTACCACTTGGACATTGGTATCAGTTCGGTACCAAGACTCGATTGTCAAAAGTCGATTCCGATAACACCGGACACCCGACAGGGATAAATATTTTTTTAACATTTATTAACTTTATAGCTACAGTATTAATTTTGTAATCACGATTAGTGTTCAGTAAAAGGCCAGCTGACCATATGAGCATATTAAAATAATCCCCACATGTCAACAACAATACAATAATAAAAATTTGAAAATGTAAACATTCCAAGGTAAACATTCTGGTTCAAAAAGTGCAATTTTTCTCTCCTGTAATATCGTTTCTTTGTGTAACATAATTCATTTCTCTCTCCTTTTATTTTGACTTATTTCATTTACCTTTTCCTTTTGTGTTCATTAAATAAACCCTTTTTAATTTGACTCTAAATTCTGTGTACCTACTGTGAGAACATTTGGACATCAATGAAACATATTATCTTCTCGACTAGAGCCAACATTCGACCAGATCTTCTTTCAAGACCTTAATAACGTCAAAGTGGTAACATAACTATAGTTCAGTGTTAAAAATTTATACCAAAAGTCCATTATTTTCTGTTGTCAAAATTAAATTAATAACCCATATACAGTCCACTTTATTATTTCTACAATAACCTTTTGATTACGCTACATCTTTGGTCCGTTCGCGTCGGATTGTTGATTAACCAATTGATTGAACTAATTATGTGGACTTTTGGTGAAGATTTAAAGACGGACATAACCTCATAAACTCTCAATATTGTCGTTCCCGCATATTGTGTACTTTCTCTCTGTACTCTACCTCTATCTCTCTCACTCTCTCGATCACATTAGCCTAATAGGCCTACTCCAATGACTGAAAGACTCTGTGACATTATAGTCATTTTGTAAACATTATACCAATCCTTCAGTGTTTATATTTTTTGTTGATTGGTTCCGAGTTTAGGCCCACAGACTGTTTAACTGAACTAGCCTAATTCATTTTGTTTTATGTAACGAAGTGAAATAACTTTGGTGTCTTGTGTATTTTGACTGTATTTGTGTTCAATGATGGCTCCTGTGAACCTAGCCCCGATTAAGGTTTGTACCTATAAAAGACTAACCAAACAATTCAAAGTTAGGCTTGGAAAAATTCAAGAAAATATAGATTCTATTAATGAAAGTGCTAAAGCAAACAACCTATCCTCTGTGCAAATAAAATCACTTCATAACTATTTAGATGAAATCAGGAAAAAGCGAGACGACTTTGAACTAAATTTCAGGCGCGTTTTAGAACATTGTTCTGACGAAGAACTCGATGGCATTATTCTAAATGATGATGAAAACACTGTTGGTGAACTATGTATCCATCTTTGTAGTATTATAGAGTCACTAATCCCTGTTGACGAACCTCAATCTCCCCCTCAAGAAATGGTGAATGATTCCAACTGTACTGCTTTCATGCAACCTGTCCGCCTACCGCTACTTGACTTGAAAACCTTCTCGGGAAAGTCAGCCGAGTGGATTAATTTCATCAATCTTTTTGATAGCGCTGTACACCTCAACACATCTCTGTCTCCAGTATCAAAATTTCAATACCTACTAAGCTGTCTAACTGAAGAACCTCTAAATTTAATTAAAAACTTAAACATCAGTGCATCTAACTACGAAATCGCATACAATTTGTTGCGTGATCGATACCACAATCACCGACGCTTAACTTCTTTACATTTAAATGCCATATTGGATCTTCCTATTGCCACATCTGAAAATACAAAATCAATACGTGAATTTCTAAATCATTTCCTGGAACATACACAATCACTTATTGCTTTAGAAAGTGACATCACTACCAATGACAATCCTTTGCTGTCAGCTCATTTGCTCCGTAGACTTGATAGAAATTTACGGCAAAAACTTGAACATTACCGCTCATTCAAATCATGTGAAACTCATTCGTTACCATCTGTGGACAAAATCATTAAATTTCTCAATGAAGAATGCTCAAACAATGAAGATGCTAACCTACACTCTTCAACTTTTTGTCACAAGGCTAATTCAAAGCCTGCCCTCACATCTAGTAAAAATTACTCCAAACCAAGCACCCGCTATACTGCACTTGTAAGCTCAGATGATCACTCCACTTCTGTAAAGACATTTCCATCATGCTTTGCCTGTCAACAAACCGATCACAAAATCTACATGTGTAAGGTTTTTGCTAAGAAATCTCCAAACGAGCGTTACAAACTTGTTAAGGAGCAAAATAAATGTATTTCATGTCTTGGCAATCACACACTCAAAGATTGTCGCTCAACAGGCACATGTCTTAAATGTAAACAAAAACACCACACCTTGTTACATTTTGAAAATGTAAAGTCGGTGCAGCCTCCTCCTATAGCCAAACCCTCAAAACCTTCAACTGCTACACCTTCTGTAGTCGCTTCTGCTCAACCAGAAATGTCGCTCTCGATTTCTCAGCCTGCAACTACGGTACTTCTAGGCACCGCTCTCATTAAAATTACCGCTACTAATGGAATCTCTCATGTCTTTCGATGTCTGCTCGACAGTGGAAGTCAACTCAACTTCATGACAGAGAGGGCAGCACAGCTATTAAACGTCTCTCGTCAACACTCTACTCACACAATCGTGGGAATCTCTGCATCGCAATCCTCGACAAAG